TAAGGTGGGTACTCTCATGCACCGAAACTGAATACCTGGACAGACGTCATGCAAGGCATCAAACCCACATCCACTAGATCATGCGTGTCTTCCGAAAAAAATCAAGATTTCGAAGTACCACTGCTCTGCAACCAAAACATGCCGTTAAATGTACTGAAATATACTTTGAGGAGACTATCTTCCCTCCAACCATGTGTAGTACTCTCGAAAAGTTATTAACTACTTACTAAAAGCCATGTGCTGCAAAAGTCACAGATATCATGGCTTCCAAAGTTCTTCAGCATTAAAAATACGACCGTTGCTAAGGGTAAAATCGTTTGTTTCATGAATTAATATTCACTGATTGAAAGCTGTCCTTTTGCCCTAAATTCAGAGAGGCGAAAAATCGGTGCATTCTAAATCACTTAGTCAAGATAAAGTATAATAGTGCTTAAAAAGGGGAAAGGTGAATCAAAATCAGAATGATATAATTTGGCGTCGCATGCGGAATTTCGGCATTTGGTTAATTTTAGTTTCGTCTGTATCCCGGTATTAACTCAGTCATACATATCAACAATCAAGTTGTTTATGGCCGTCCGACCTGAGTAAGTGTTAACTACGTGGTCAGGCTTCTCCCGCACTGAAAGGCTCCTCTTTGCCTTCTACCAACCTTTTCTGGTAAAAGCAATCATATTTTTACCAGGAATTATATCAGAACTGTCGGTAGGAGTCAACATGATCTGGAGACTGCGGATTGATCTCTGACGAAATTGAATTTGAATGAATTATGCATTTTGGAACTGTAAACAGGAGCATTATCATACGAAATTATGGTATTCATTAAACATATTGCGTAAGGAATGAACTATTCAACAACCAGAATTGACACTGGTTGAAGAAATTTAATCTAATCGCTAACGGAACTCATCTGTCCCGCTCTGCCTCGACAGCTGTTACGGCTGCAAGGACCTCTGTCGAGGCGCAAGGCAGAGCGGGCCATGAGTTCCATTAGCGGTCAGATGAACGTTCATCAACGAGTTTGTAAACCGACAAGACAACGAGCTCGGAGCTCAATGTTTAGTACGTTAGACTTATCAAAAATTTCCCGAGTTCGAGGCTGGGGTGGGACACCACTT